ACTCCCGCATTTGGAGTACACTACGTGATTCTTTATGCTAAAAGAAACAACTTTTTCCGTTAGCAAAATTGCTTGCGACGAATAATTTTTACAATGGATCAGATTAAAAGTGACGAATGAACGCGCGTATGTGCATAGCTGTCAAGAGCTGGCGCGCGTTTTTCAGGCTGGTGCAGTCTGATACTTAATCTTTGACGTACTATATTGTTTAAAATATGATAAAAGTTAACAAAATAAGTATTGTTTTCATCCTTTAACGATTTAATAAAAAAATTGTCTGATTTCGTAACATTATCTCGAAATAAAAATAAATGTAAAGTACACTATGATGTATGAACTGAGCATTCTATTAATTTAATTACTGCACAATTGTATATAACAAAAAAATATACTGAATTTAATGAATTATTTAGATATTATAAAGAAATCAATTTTTTTATTTTTTGTGATTACATAATTAATAAGTATTCATTAAATTCAGTATTTTTTTATTGTTATATGCAATTGTGCATACGACAATAAAAAAATAATTAAAATAATAGAATGCTCAGTTTATACACCATATAATTTACATTTTATTTTTATTTCCAGATAATGCTACGAAATCAGACCTATTTTTTTTATTGAATTGTTACGTAAAGGATGAATACAAATATTTATTTTGTTAACTTGTATTATATTTTAAACAATACAATACGTGAAATCGTCAAAGATTAAGTCCCAGGTCTGAAGAACGCGCGCCGGCCCTGACCGCTACGCACATACGCACACTCATTTGTCACTTTTAATTTGATTTACTGTAAAAACTACTCGTCAATTTTCATGCAATTTTGCTAAAGGAAAAAGTTGTTTCTTTTAGCATAAAAAAATCACGTAGCATTTTCCAAATACGGGAGTTTTGGGACACCCTGTACGCACGCACGCACGCGCACACACACACACACACACACACACACACACACACACATATATATATATATATATATATATATATATATATATATATTTTTTTTTTTTAAATATTAAGAATTCTTTTTCAGTATACGCGTACTTAGCGTTTTTTCTTTTTTATCTTAAAAGGATTATTTTTTATTCTTGTATCATATTTTTTTCGCACCAATAATCTTTAGTGTGCAGGGAGATATTTTTAAAAGATAACTCGCACAAAGGGTAGCGTATATTAAAATAATATAACAAATACACTTTGCACATAATCTCTTCTTTATGCGTTTCTATTTCTCGTGCAATTTTTTTTTTATCATTTATTACAAGAAACAGCATAAAGTAAAACTGTGTTATTTAAATTGTAAATCTAAAGATACATAATTTTCTACTTTGATTTACAGGCATTTATAGTTTGCAGTGGGAAACATTAGGAGAAAAAATTTATTCAACTAAAATCGATCAAACAGTAGTGTCTGTCTCGATATCGCCTACGCAACAACATCTCTTGGTAGGTTTGGCACGCAGGATTCACGTACCCTCCAGGCCCTTTCCAATGGCTCTGATTTACAAGCTAATGGAGAAGCAGCCCGACGACGAGAAAAATGTTTCGTCGATAGATCCGTCCATGGAGTTGGCATACGATTCCTCCGACGAGATGCTCGACGATAATGTTTCCACGAGTACTATTCCGAGACGAAATAACGTTACAGTCAACACTTATAGACCGCATATCCGAGACTGGCGGATCCGGATGAGAAACGACCTGGACATGGACATCAAACGTCACAGAGAAAGCATGGTGCTTATCCGGGAATTGTTGCAAAGCACCCGAGAGGCGACGGGCTACGTTAGTCTGAATTGCATCAGATGGGCGCCGCAACCGGGTCAGGGGATGGTTTATGCGACGAACACCGGACAATTGAATATTCTGCAGTGATTCTACGCCCGTAGTTAGATGGAGATGAAAGTAAACGTTTCTCTTCGTATTATAATGCTTACAATGAATGTGTCATACGTGTAAGACGTAATACAATATCGCGATTCGCCCCAAACGAATTTCTTTTCGATAGGTCCATAAAGAAGGATTTGCCAATGCGCGATATGCAGTAATAGTTTTTATCCATTACGGTCGGTTATCAATTTCGCCGGCTTGTATGACAGTGATAATTAGTACGAAGACTGTTACGGATTATAATCTGTATTTTATTCTTTTTCGTGCTATGCTATCTTCTTTTTTTTTTTGTTCTGTGAAAAAGAGCAAGAAACGCAAGATGTATAAATATAAAATTTTGTGTTTGATTGATCAAGTTATTATTGTATAGTTTATGTAGTTTTTATATCTCTATGATTTAAAGAGTACTCTTGGGCTGCATTCAAGATGCACGCTATCTGTCCTATCTTTAACGCTCATTATATGAGGATAGAATAACAACAATAGCGCATCCCGAACGCGACCTTTGTGCATTGTTTCTATTAGACTGAATTTGTAGTACGATCGTCTTTCTTTTTAGTGGAGCTTCTGTTACGCCGTATAATTACGAAAGTGTGGGGAACTGGGTCGTTATATAATATCAATATGTATTTACCGATCGGATGAACGTTAATACCGTCAAATAAATCATTCAGAACGTACTTCCTACTTTTATTATCTTAACTGTAAGGAATAGAGCAATTTATCGTGCCATCTCTTTGCAATACTTTTATCTGGTGGCTTTTTTATGTTGATACTTTAACATTATTAACTGGAGATATATTTATAAATTTGATCTTTTTTGATGATATCTTTCTTCGTTTTACCTTTGTACTGCGAAACGAGATGTTTATTAAAATTCCATGTATATTTGTTTTATACATATATACATGTATATTAAAAGTTTTGGCGTAGGATATAATATACAAAATGCAAATATACATGTTGATTAAGTAAATTGTTTCAGGCACAATTTTATTTTTGTAAAAAATTGCGTGTCCTTTAGAAATTTGGCGGTTTTCGAAAAGAGAATGGCTCGTTCGTGTATACAGTCATCGGGTTTCGATACAACTATTGTACACATAGTCAAATAAACACGTAATTGTATTTCTCTGTGTATAATCGTTATCAATAATAATTTCTTTGCAAAAAAAGCACACGTTTTATACATCTTTACTGTCATACATCATGCTATCTACGCGTGCATATACCGTTTCTTCCACTTTGAATTGTGTAAATCTTCCTCGAATGAGATACAAGAAAGGTAATATAAATTAAAAATACGCGATTAATATTTTACATTTTCAAGGAATGTCATCTTGCATGCGATAATCCATAACAAAGCATTATGTATTCAAACGGAAGCATCCATTTTGTCCGATATCGAATAAAAAAAAATGTAAGAGAAAGAGATTTCTTGTTGTTTCATCTTTTAGTAAATGCGAAATATGCGATAGAGTATAAATCTCATAGCCTTAGAACATCCGCCTCTGTAATCGGACAATAAAATTTACAATGAGAAGATACAGGCATGTTTTATGCAGATATTTATAAATATATACAAAACGATATTATATAATGTATTGATATATCTATTTATCACAAATTCATATTATAAAAGCATCGATCTTGTAATACGTTAAAAACGTAATACTTATTACATGGAGTTAAAGTATTGTAGGAATCTATACAGATGCTAGGATGGAAGACTCGAAGGCGATCCTTTCGAAATATCGCCTTCAAGTGCGATGGTTTCGTAGTGTGCTCACGGGTAACTACTAACGAAATAGTACGATTTATGATACATACGTTCACGAATCTTATACGAGAGAATTCGGCAATTTATTTACAGGACGCAATAAGACTCGAAGATTGTCTTTATAATGAATATCTATTTATAAAAATAGTCATGCGCGTGAAGATTTACGAAGATCTGGTTTTATCGGAGAATCAAGACGAGATAAAAAATGAACGAAAATCGCAGTGCAGTATACATTTTGTGTCTATTTGAGTGTGTGTGAGAGTGTGCAATAGTCTATACAATATAATTTTAACATTTTGGCATCGTACAGTGTATTAATTGCTTCATTAAAGTTGTATAAACACTTCCGACATACAGAGCACATATGTAAGTAGTTACCTATAATGCAGTAAAAATATACTTTTTATCGGACAGCGAAATAAAAGATTGTAATATGGACAGAAATCGCAAATATGTTACATTACACGCCTATCATCCCGGTACGCTATACATAGCATTAAAAGCTGAGAACGTACGTTATTACTTCGTTTCTTCCCACGTATACATTGGACTTTTTTATCGCTCTATTATAAATTCGACCATTCGACAATACTCTGACTTTCGTGTAATAAAATATAAAAATAATAAATTGTAATTACTCTTCCCTCACATTCTGAAAATCCAACTTTCAGAACTTCAGATTACACTTTAATTCCTCTTATAGACATAACCAGTCATACAATAAAAAACTATCTTATATTTAAAGTGTTCTAACTGGTAGATACAAAATATTAAATTATATCATAAAGTTAATTAATAACACGTATGATACACGATTATATTAACGGTATATTAACGGTATTTCAATTCGATCTTGTCATACAGTAAAATGTGAGTATGTTACAACCTTCATGTTCTTTATTTTCTTTCTCTTTAGTGTGAGCGTGTTCCTCGATGATCTTTGGAAGATTCAATCGCATGCTTTACGAAACGAAGACTTTACATAGCTGTCAGATTTGAATACTTTATAGCAATTTACGGTCGTAAAAATGCGATCATTTCGTGCTTCCTTATTATATCAAACACGTCGATAAACACTTATTCAATGCATCTCTGTAGAAAGTAACTATCCGAAAGTAATGCATATTGCAGTATACATTATGAAAAGAGCAAACGTGATTTGATATCGAATTAAATTTAAGTTTTGATAATCCTGTTTGAAATAGACCGAATTTTAAATTAAATTCGATCATTAACAAAGTGAGTAATCCTATAAGACTGAGTAATCTTATAAGAGAAAAATGATGCAACCCTGATATCATGGCTTATCCTTATCTCGCGCATTATCTAAAGTTATAAATCCATGGAAGTAGCGCCATATAAAAGCAATTATTTAGACTAATTTATCGTGCCCTTTAGTCTTAATAAGCTATAAAGGCTGATTTGCTAATATATATACGCTATTATATAATATACTTATTGTAAATGGTGTTCTTGCTATGTACTATTATTCAAAATACATAAAATCATCTATCAAATCCGATATATCGAATTGTGTCGATAAATTTTTCTTTTATAATTTGTGTTACGCTGTGCATTCATGATTAAAGAAAACTTTAAATAATTCTAAATCAAAATGATAAAAACAAATAAACGGCGTGCATGTACAGAGATATATCAAAATAACAAAAGAACAAAAGAATACTACATGTTTAAAAAAAATAAATAATTCTAAACTCATGATAATTTCTCTATAATGATCTTTCGATGTACACGAAACTGAGAAGACATGCAAAAGATCAAAAAGATATACTAATATACTTAAAAATAATTTAGATACATCAAGATAACATGCAATTCTATACCTTTGACATGCAAACTTCTAATTGGATTATTATTTTGGTAAATTACGTAGCGTTCTAAGAAACTGATAATCTTTAATTTGAAGCACGCTGAATATTTTCGCTTTTTAAAATGTTATTAGTAAATCAGCCGTAAGTTTGATTCTTATTAAATTCAGTCAATATATAAAATGCTTTGGATAATGAACAGTTGACTAATATATATCACAAGTTATTTTCTCCCATAAGGACAGTACAGATAATGCTACGACTAAAACTTTTTCTCTTTCTCTCTCTCTCTCATCCTTTGTTTCGTCAATACGCCTCACATTCTTCGTTATATCCACATTATAAGGTCCCAGATAGTAGGAATCTTTGCACAATCAACAGAATTATATTTATATTTATTGACAAATAAGATTAATATTTATAGATGTCCGTAATTAGTAACAAATGATTAATCAAAGCAGTTGATAATTGCTCCATAAAGAAGGCCAAAATTGAAATTACTTTTTATCGGAATTGACTCATGATTCTTGAATGCAAATAACAAGAATAATGCATCAGACGAATTGTCTAATGAACTGTCGAAATTTTAGTGTATATGTATAATAATTACAGTTAAAATTGTTATTGCAAACCATACTCGTGATGGAAGTTCTTTCATTATACAACTTAATTGTATACATATACATTGATATATGCGATATTTTTAATCTAGCTTGGACAATATACATATATTTATATATAAAAACAGTTTTTCAAGATGTATATAATACATCAAATATTCCGCAATAATTAAACAGAGGTATAACACAAATGTTCGGTACATCCAAACGTAATCTCTTTGAAAAAGAATCATTAAAATTGATCGGTAACAATAATGTCTCTATAAAAATTCACGTACCTCCATTTAAAATCTGAGCAGTAATCACTGCTGTCTGTGTTTATATCCACCTATATCCATACATATATGTTTAAGATAAAATAGCGATGCTACGTCTAGGTCCGCCTATGCATACATTGTCTAAGCTGGACCACTTTTTAATACCGGTACGTAAGGCTTCGGCTGTGACCTTATCTTCATAAACTCTGGACATAGCTTCTAGCTTTTGCGCCTTTTCCTTACTAAGCGGTTCGCTAGGGAATGTTAATTCGTTCGCTTCCGCAAGTGTACGAAGATCGAAGTAATATTTGGCATATACACTCGAAGGAACATTTATGTTGAATTGCAACATCTCCAAGAATTGTCTCTCTAATTCGTTCCTAGTTAGAAATCATAAATTAGTAAATAAATAATTAATATAGTTAAATGATATGATAACTGTGTTTACATTTCTATTCTTTATTGGTTTCATTTTATCTTCTTGAAATCAACAAATATACAATCTAAATATAAAAAAAAGACTTACATATCTTCCACTGTGATATCCTTTAAAATTTGACAGTAATCCACATTCCACACTGCCTGATCGTCCCAGACTTTAGATGCTAATAGAATAGCTCCCAATACTATACGTTTCCAGTTAGCGGGTGTTATGTCGATCTCCGCATAAGTAAGTAGGCGTTCGAGATAAACCAACGTTATGATGGCACATTCAGCAGTGAGCTGAGCGGCGTTAAACAAAGTCCTTATAAATTTATATATCTGCTTATGCTCTGGATTATGCTTGTCGTAATCCTCTGAAACACCATCCCTCTAAAAGGTAGATTGACTATTCAAGCGTTACTCCATGACATATCATACAAGGAAAGGTCTTGAGAATCTTTCTCTAATCCAATCATGCAGTTGATATTAAGTGAGAATAGAACAGGCACGAAGATACATAAGAACATATAGAAAGAGAGATAGAGGCAGATCGCTGGATCTATCAAGGTAGTTGACCAAATAGTATTTCTTTGACGTATTACCGTTAATGGATGTAGTTTCTCATCAAATATATCAATCTGTCGCTGCGAAGTTCTATTCTTAATATGATAATAAACGGCTAAGGCAACGCATTTGACGGTATTTTTTAAGTTAGGTTGTGAAACCGTGCTGTCATCTAGGTATATTGTACTGCAGCTGCTACTCTTCTTCAAAGGCCTTGTGTCTGCTATTTGATGTTGACTCTTCTTCCTTACCATGCCATCTAGAAAAGACACAGAGTGAGATCAAGTATTTATTATCGCGGGGACCTGAAACTTTTTTCTCGCGACATCCCCCAAATCAATACCCACTTTCAATAGCTTGTTTGGAACGCTCCATAAATATAGTTCCCGCGCACGGGTGTAACGACGGATCCGAGTCCCAGTCCTCCGGTTCACGTTCACTGATATGTTGCAAATTATTAACGCTAATCCCGCCTTCCGGCAGGTGTTCCTCCAGGTTACGCGTGGCGCACTCAGGCCCGACCTCCTTGCGACCAACCTGTGGACTGGAGTAGACGCAACAGCTATTCTTGTTCCCCATGTTCCCATGTAAACTCTATACCGGCCAGTGCCCCGGCTAAGTGCCCCGCTCTTCCCGCACTTCGCGCGCGCGCGAGATCACGCTTAGTCTCAATTTGCACGCGAGGGGGATGGCTGGCCGCGCGGTGAATTGAAGCCGCGATGCGCGAAGCGGCACGCTTCTTGCTCGATGTTAGGTAGTTGGATAGTTAAGTAATAGATAGATAGGTGGATAGATAAGTAAGTAGATAGGTAGGTAGGTAGATAGACAGGTAGGTAGGTAGGTAGGTAGGTAGGTAGGTAATAGATAGATAGGTAGGTAGGTAGGTAAGCAATGCTCGCTACCTCACATTTCGTTGTGCGATAAACGATCAGCTGACGGGGCCGTTCGTACGATTGGTGATGCGATTCGCTCGCCCGCGGCTAGTCTGGCTCATTTCGGCGATGCTCGCCAAAAAAAGCAGCTCGCGCGACGGAGGTCTCCTCGCGTCTTGTTCTCCGGCGAGGAGAGGAAGAAGAGGAGCAGCTCCCTATTTCTTTCTTTCTCTCTCTCTCTCTCTCTCTCCCTCCCTCCTGCCCTCTCTTTCTCACCGGAAGGACGACGATTCGTCCCACGATTCGTCAGAGAGCGAGGTGGCAACGCCTCGACGCTGTGTTCGCGCCGGTCAAGTCCACCTCCGGCTCTATAATCGCACTCGAGCAGCTACGCGGTCGACCGCGATCGCGATACGCAACGCGATTCATTGTCGTACCATCGCAATCCCATTCTCATCGCGCGTCTATCCGGTTCGCACAAGCTCGCGCACTCGAATCCCGCGAACGCGCTCGACGAACTACGACCAACCGCGACGCGACCTGATCCTGCGCCCTCCTGCGCCAGCCTCATTACCGCGCATATTGCGCCACGTTGCATCGCACGCCGCCTTGCGGTGCGCGAATGTCCGTCGGCGCATCGATATGGTTGGTCACGATCGGTGACATGTATAATAAAGCGATGAAATTAATAATGCATTAAAATCAAAATTGTGTGTGATTCAAGATTACGTTTACACGGATTTTTTTACGCATTATTTATGTGATGTTTACACGAACCTATTTACAGACATGTAAATTATTGTAAATTGGACAATGCAATAACGAAAAAAAACAAAAGTTTTAAAATAGAATACATACATATCT